AAAAACTTAAAAGTAGTGCGTTTTTTGAACTGGATGTCAAAGGAACAGAGTTCTCACATGTGTCTATCTTCAAATTACAAAGGAAAAAAAGAACTGTTTCAAAGCACAGTTGTTTTTATTTCAATTTAACTATAGAATTTGAGTGGGAGAGTATTGAGATTAAGTGGAAAGAGCACAAGATCTGGGTTTTAGTATTAGTGTTGCCCTCCACTAGCGACCAACTGACCTTTCCGGGCCTAGATCTTTTCATAAATAACCTGGGGAGGTGAGGTAGTCTGTTTGTTCCTTTAAGCTCAGAATCAAGTCCACAGCCATAACTCCAACTTTAGGTGTGACTCATCGTGGAGAATGTAGGTAGAATCTAATCATTTCCAGGCTATTTTGAAGGCTATGGGGGATAAAATATCATTTAGTTATATTTGATTTAAAAGAGCCAGCCTAAAATAAGAAATGTTCATTTTCATATTTCAGATGTAACAGAGGCTGATCAGCAAATAAAAGCATGGTGCTATAGAGTGTAATAATATAATTATAGATCATTCTTGATGTTCTGAAGAGTTTTTGTTCGTTAGTGTATCCATTGGTGATATTAGGAGTGCACTGATGTCAAAGTACTCTAAGTTGGGTATCCGGAGGTGAGTTATGACTGCTTCATGTCCTATGATAGCACGGTCTCTGTTCTGAAGTATTCGGAGACTTCTGTGCACAAGTTAGTATGGTCGTGTGGAAAAGAGGTGCTTTGTAGATCGAGCTCCTTATGTCATGTTATGCCACCAGTCCATATGAAATGGACATAGAGGTGGAGGGTTGTAGTTAGGAATCATCTTCCTCAAATGTATCTTTTTAAAAAATCTGCATTAATCTCAGTCCTCTCTTACCCGACTCTCACATTCTCCAGAGGTAGACAGAGGCCTCCATCTTGTCACTCTCCTCATGTCACTCTTGGTTTCCCCAAGATGTCTGTTGTTCTAATGTACGTGGACCAATGAGAGCAAGTCCCTGCTGCTTCTGTGCCACAGTGCCATGTGGGAATCTCTCGTAGCATGGGGGACATCGTGACTGAGGGGTCATCACACATGGTTCACCACCCAGGAAGCTACTCAGATCTTACACCTGCCGGTCACTTCATTCGTTCTGCACATTTCCAGGATTTGTCCATCTGTTGCATCTTCCTTTTATCCACTTTCAGAGAAATAGAGAAATTGCTCTCCTTTCCTCAAAAATGCTTCCTACCCAGGATAACCACTAATAGCATTTTCTCTTTCTGAGCGTCATGTTTTCTTCTTCTTCTTCTTTTTTTTTTTTTGGTTTTGTTTTTTGTTATTGTTTTTTATTTATTTTATTTTATTTTATTTACTAAAAGGAAATAAAGTTGTTTTGCTTCTGCCATGCAAACATATAATCTGAAGCTCTGGATACTTAGACACTTTCCTGAGAGAGGGTAAGAGGGAGAGGGAGAAAAATATCTGTTTCTCAGAAGTTATCCTGTCACATTTTGTGGCAGAGAAACAAGACAGGTAGATCAAGAAAGGCATGGTTTTCCAGGGCCTCGCTAAATTCCAGCGGGGATGGCTAACCCATGAAAAGTTAAACTTGTCTTATATTATTTGTGTGAACAATTTCTGCCATGTTTTTTTTTTTTTTTGCCATCCACTTTTCTTTCCTTCCTCCCTTCCTTCCTCCCATCTGTCTTTTCTTCCTTTCTTCCTTCCTTCCTTCTGCCTCCCTTCCTTCCTTCCTTCCTTTCCCTCTCTCCCTCTTCCCCTCTTTATTTCTTTCAGAAAGAGCACAGAACTTAGTTTCCTTCCTCTCACTTACAGTAGTATGATTTTAATCATGACATATTACCTTCTGCATCCAAATTTTCTCTTTCATAAAAATGGAGATGCTGCCACTTTTTATACTCCCTCATGGAACTCTTGTAGATCAAGTAGGCCAACACTAATGCTTGGTAAGCCGTAAAGCAGTGTGTGCAATACAGACTTCACTGGTAGCAAGTATGAATTTGGCTTTTTTGGTAAATTATATCAGACAATTTCAAAGAAAGAGTTTTACATATGCTTGGAGCATAAGAGATACATTTTTGAAATACAGGGGTTGTCAGAAAAAGAGGAAAATGAATATTATAAAAAACTATGCCTGCATTCTGGGATCAGCAATTAGCATAAAGGCTACGTCGCTGGACTCCCATGTAGTCAACCATGGTTTGAGTCCCGGACCCGGTGGCTTAAACTCACGCCTGGCGCATGTGCATGCGTGCCCAAGATCCTGAGAGGAGAATGGAGAAGAGATTGTGGCATTGCCATCCCCCAGAGGGGGTGATTTCTCGCTTACTGTCTGTTTCTCTGTCTGTCTCTGTCTTTCTGGCGAGCACACACACTCTATAGCAAAAACCTCTCAAAAAAGAAACTATGCCTGCATTCCAAAATATTTTTTGCGCCAAAGTAAACTCATTCTTTAATTTCATTTTTTCCACAAACTGTTGGAAGTCTTGCATATGTACAGATGAGATCTATGGTAGAATTGCTCTGAAACATGCAGATCTGTTCTTGTGCATTTATTAAGCAAAAGATAAAATAACTGGTCTTCATTTATTGTCAGCTTGCACAGTTAAAAAAGATGTGGTCTTGTGTCACGTTAATGACCTGGGAGAAGAGGAAAACTAATTGGCTCCCTTTTCAGTTGCAGGGATAGGGACTGATGAGACCTTGATGTCACTATATATTTGATGAGTAATACATATTAGAATTTTTTAAATGAACGTTGAAGGCTCCAGTCACCTATTAACCCAGGACATGTGGTGAGGTTTTCTTCTAGTTTCATAAATTCTATTTGTCTCCCACTCTTTGTTACACTTGACTGGTAATAATAGATTATCTTCTTCCCTGTGGAAACTTCCCTAATTGTCAGTACATCTCCAAGGGCATAATCATGATATATTAAAAAATAATCATGTAAATTGTAATCATCCATCTCACTCACATTTTCCAGAAAATTTTTAGTGATGAGGATTTTTCTTTTTAAATATTGATTGGGGATGTCTTGGCTTGGGATAAGGTAATCATATGCAAATTGTCTTCTTTGATATACTCTTCGTTTAAATCCAGGGCCACAGCATGACTTGGTATTGGCACTATAACAAGTAAACGGTTCATAGTTTCGCCTAGGAAAATTATTTTTGTTTAAATTGTCCTGAACTCCTTGCAACTTTAAAACCGAAGTAAGGTACTATAGAAGATTTTTTACCTACTCACAGGCACATATCGTATACAGACTTAGAAAGGAAAATATTCAATTTTGAGATTTGAGTGTATACTCCTAAAAATATAAAGTCACTATTTCAATAGTGAAAAATACATGTAGCCATGCCCTTTGTGTCGAGAGTCATAAAAATTCAAGGTTAGGTTATACTAAAACATTTGTGTTAAGAAGCAATGCTTTTACATTTTTATCACATTTACATCTCTTATATTTTATATTTATTCTCTTCTCAATTTTGACTGGAAGATTTCTTCTGTATGGTCTCAGTAGCAGGTTAACTTTTTAGAATATTTGATCAAAAAATGAGACTCAGCTTGGTAGATATGTTCTGTTTCTAACCACTCTCCCCACTTCTAAAAGAAGTTGCAACATTCAGAGCATGAAAATTTTAAAATCCATTACAAGAAATTTCCCTTTCTGTGAAATATTCACATGAACTTTTAAAAAGTCGTAAGTTTAGGGGCTGGCAGGTAGCATGGTGGTTTAAGGCACTGGACTCCCATAGGACCTACCATGGTTCAAGTCCTGGACCTGGTGACTTGCTTTCTTACTTTCCCTCTCTGGTCAAAGTTAAAAAAAAAAAAAAAAAGAATAAAATTTAACAGAATAATTATTTGAGAAAATATAGGTTTGAAATGTTTTTAAGTGTGAATGATAGACATATGTAATTTGTCATCACATGAAATATTAAGGGCGTATTTTTATTTGCATAATACCAGTGACGTTTATTGAAAGGACTGATTAAACCAAGAGTGTGGACTCTGAAGGACTTGCAGAGAGTGTCACAACTTCCAGATCAGTCTCAATCAACTTACTTGTGTATACATGTGTTTCCTATGGTCCGAGGCTGGCTTCTTGCTCAACTGTGACGTGACTATCCTCTTTAGAGTATGGCCAAATAAAGCAGCCGAAAAGTACATGGAGAGTCAATTAACTGTAGTATATGTCTAGAATGATCCATGCTCTTAAAGATTAGCGCTCATGTTTATCATTTCCTGTTGTCTTGGCAAAATGATTAGTGGCCAATCTTTTACTTGCAAAAGTGTCTTGGTTTAGATGAGAACTTATATATTATCTTGACAACTAAATAGTGGTGGTATCTTCTTTTCCTCTTCATCTTTTTATATCTAACCACAGGAGAAATCTAAACACACTAGAATGTTGTGATTTTAAGTGACTTTTCCAAGTGGTTACTTAATGTCAAATCTAGTTTGCCCAGGTGTTTTGACTTAAAAAGCCTTGTTTTTTTTTTTTTATTTTATTTTATTTTATTTTTTTTCCCCCAGGACATATTTGTTATTTTGTCAGTTATCCAGGTTATATTTAGTTTATCATATGACTATTTCTTGTCAGGTGTATTTGTTCTCATATTCTCTCTCTTTTTATGTTTGAATATCTTTAATTTTTATGTAAAGCATTTAGAGAAATTGAAATGAATCAAACATGCCCATTGTAAGCTATCTTCAAATGATGAGAAGTTGTTGAAAACGTTATTTCCAGTGTGGCGCTGGAAACGTCGTAAAGTTAGCAGCACAGCCTTGTGGCCAGGTTGGCCTTATGGATGGAAACGTGAATTTGTCTTGAATTAGTCAGTCTGTGTAAGTCTGGGAGAAACTCTTTTTTATTCTTTTTTAATTTGCTCTCAGTTCTGAAATCATTATATGCTTCTAGAAATTAAGATAGTTGACAAGAGTAAGTTTTGTTCATGCTAAGTGATCTTTTTTTTCTATGTTGGCTAGAGTTTTCTAGATATGACATTTGGTTCTGGAGGTCATACAAGAGCCATTCTACAGACGGAGTCAGATATTACCATGTATGTTTTAGACAGAGATCCTACAGCTTATGCCATGGCCGAGCAGCTTTCAGAATTGTATCCGTAAGTAATACTCTTGTTTATTTATTTAATTTTGGTGTCGATGTTTGTGGAGTTTGTTTTTGTTTTTCCACCGTGGAATTCATTCTACCATGTAATATTTCTGGTAAATATTTCCTCCTTTCTTCTCCAGAAAGAATTAATATAAATGATGTTTTTAGTACCACTTAGAAAGTAATATTACTGCATGCATCTTTTTGGAATTCCTAAAACTTAATGTAAAAATGACTTCTGGCTATAAGTTTGAAGATGTGTTGAAATCTATCCATGAATAATATTTTGACAAATAACTCTTAGTTAAAAAAATATTTAAAAGATTTTTATGAGTTACTTTCCAAGAACTAAACAGAGTTAATAAGTATGTGAGAATTCTGCAGAACTCATGAGGTCACATATATCAACATAATGTACTTGTTTTCTCCGAAGTCTTCCTGAAATTCTCAAGTAAATTTAGAGTGATTATTCTGTCAGTATTAGTGAACTATCACTAAAGAACTTTTAAAAAATAAAACTTTCTCTTAATGAGTGGTGAAACCATCTGCTGTTATAAAGAAAAATTGTGTACTAGAGAATAAAATGTATCTGGTATGTTGTTTTAAAGCCAGCATCCTAAAAGGGAATAATATATTGAAACTAAGATAGCCATCCAGAAATATATAAAGAACTGTTTTCAAAAATGGGGAACTATTTTCTTTTCTCATATTCTGGAGACTGGAATCCAGAAAATAAATTTTGACCTGGTATGAAATATGAGGTTTCACTAATAACTGTTCAACAACAAAATGGACTCTTTGGGGAAAAGTATGACCATGGAAAAGTCTGTTTACAAACTAAAGATAGGTTTTTTGTGCTTGTTTTTTAGTTTGCCACGAGTGCATGTGTTTGCTAGAGAGAGACAGAGAGGCAGAGCGAGAGTGAGAAAGAGTACAGAAAGGAAAGTGAGAAATCCCCCACTAGGACAAATGGCCATGCTTCAGTCCCTTCTCCTCCATTCTCCTCTCAGGACTTTGGGCACACATGTACATGTACCTAGCATGTTTTTCCAGCTGTCAGGTCCAGGACACAAACCTCACAGTTGGTCATGTGGGATCTAGCCGCCCTAACTACCATGCCACTAGCTGACCCCATCTTTTCAACTTCTTTCACATTTCAGACTCTTTGGAAATATACTGAATGTGATGACTCTCCCAGTAAAATTATAAATAGATATAGACTTTTTGCAAGGTCACAAGGTTTAAGGAGGCCCTGAGTCCCATCATTTGACCCTGGTTATTTTTTTTATCTTCTAAGAAGAATATGGGAATGTAGTTTAATGACACAGTATTAAATTTATTTCTGTCTTTAAAATAATTTTGCTAGAGGTCATGAGGATTTGTCAGAGAAAGAGAGAGGGAGAGGGATAGTGAGAATGCGCCTCTTATTGGGGATTACCACACTGCAATCCCTTCTCTATTTCACCTTTTAGGATTTTAGACACACATAACACACACCTGGTGCATTGTTCAAGCTGAGGGGTCTGAGACTCAAACTACACAGTTGACCATGTGTTATATCTAAGCACCTTAACCCCCATGACACTGGCTGGCCCTAGTCTAAGTTTCAATTTTTCAATATGTGTCTTCTGCAGCATAACTTAATGTAACTTCTTTAAGAAGATCTTATTCTAGAGCACTTATTATGTAAAGCATTGTCTGTTCACTTGATTATGACCAGAACCACTATGTAGTAAAGGCCTTTGTCTTATTTCACTATCATAGAAAAACACATTTTTTTAGATATTGTTGTTTTTTAAAGTAGTGATTCTCGATACAGTTATTCTATTGTTTTTTATTTCTTCATCCATCCTACTTTTTTAAATGGACCTTGAAGTTTACCAGGTGAATTTTTACACCTTTCAGAACCTTTAGGCTCTGTAGCCTCGTCTGTTTATAGAGATGAAGGAACTATCAGCTAAACAGATGACTTGATTTCTAAAAGGCATAGTGGCTTATTAGGGACAGACCCGGGATTTGTATTCTGACCTCAAGCTTAATCTCACTTTATTTAATACTACCTTGGATCAAATAGTGAGGCTTTTTTTACTTCATTGACCAAAAAATGCTGCTTTTGCCAAACATAAGAAAGTAGGTAAAGAACAATAAATTGAAAATGAGGAAGATGAAATTAATACAGATAAAAGCTAGAATCAACTAGAAAATTGAAAGCGAAGAAAGAAAAATGTAGAAAAGGTGAAAAAAATTCTAAGGGATTGTTTTGAAAACAGTCCCTTTTGAGCCTGATTATTAGAACAAAATTCTGTGACTAAGATTGAGAGCCATGACACAGATAAGTTATTCATAAGGGTAGTACAACTCGACTTGTGGTAGCTTGCAAAACTAGATGAAATCAGTGATATCCTAGCAAAATATAAATGATTAAAATGAACTCAGTAATTGTAAACCTTGAATAGGTCACTAGAAACTTAACTAAAGTACAAAGCTGAATTCACCCTGACAAAATGGATCCACAGTTATTTGCCTCTAAAAGAAATAGAAGAGAGTAGTGCCTCTTACTAGTCCTGACGATGGTAAGTAGTGGTGTTGGATGAGGGGCTCTTCACCCCCAGTCCAGGAACCCAAAGCAGACCCGATCCCTCCTTTCTCAACAGAACAGAGAGGCAAAATCGTTAATAAGAGAGGAAAGGAAAATTCACTACAGTGCGGTCACTCCAGAAAGACAGGTGAGATTATCTTTGACTGTTCAGTGAACTCGCAGACGTTTTAAATGGGAAGGGGGATTCTATGTGGCTCCTAGCCCTCTATAGGAAAGCATAGGTAAGGTTAATTGTTAGCTGTCAGGCACAAGTGAGCAATTTGTCCCTGAGGCAGTAATACCAGTTTTAGCTGAGGGGTACAATCAAACAGTCCTTCTTCATAACAGGAGTTTCAACTGGTAACTGGGGCGGGAGTGGGGGGTGGGGGGTGG